AAAAAAAAAAAAAAAAAAAAAAAAAAAAAAAAAAAAAAAAAAAAAGTGGTGTATTTTAATTCGCATCTGAACAAAATCTGTACTTCAATGTCTCTTAAGTCATCTTTAATTTATAGATGCCTTCTTCCTCCTTTTTCCCCATTACAGTATGTTTGTTTGAGAAACTGGGTCACGTGTTGTGTGAGTTTCCCACATTCTGGATTTTGCACATTGCATCCCTGTGGTATCCTGTTACATGTTCTCTTGTTTCTTGTATTTGCTATAAACTGATAATTAAATTTAGGACTTGGTCAAATTCAGGTTTAATTTTTGTTTTGTTTTTGTTTTTGTTTTTTTGTTTTGAAGAGACTTCCTCCTAGGTGGTGGCATGTATTCCCATCTGGAGGACATCAGGCTGTTTGTCTCCTTTTCTGTGATGCTGAAATTGATTAGTCAGTTTTGGGCACAGGATTTAGCCTTATTCATTCATTATAAAGCACCTCATTAGCCTTTAGCCTAATAATTTTAGCAGCCATCGATGATCATTGCCTAGATCTATTATTTCACAAAAGGTATGATATTTTTCAAAGTAATGTTTAAGAGCTAGGATGTGATTGAGTGACAGAGCTGCATGATTTTTCTAAGTTTGATGGCTCAGCATTCACCTATGAGCCAAGTCACAGAGAATCTTTACAGAGCTAAAACGCAGAGAGCATCAGCCTGAAAGCTCTGCACAAAAAGGAGCCCAAAGTGACACAGTCATCTTTCTACGGAGAAGGCATTCTCATGGGACAATTTCACAGGCCCAAGACTAAAAGGGAAAAAGCAATGTTTTTGGTTTTTGTTAAATAATAAAGCTTGTACTTCATCAGGCTTTTAGTGTAATATTTGTATGTTACTGTTTTATTAAAAATTGCAGCAGAGAAGAAGTGTTGAGAAACACCATTGAAATATCCCCACTCCTTCAACCCATTTCTCTGTTGGGGTTTGGGAGTCAGGGCTGTGAATAATCGCCCTTACTGCCCTGCACCCTGATGGCTGTGATGATTTTCCACTGCCAACCTTGGAGGAATAGGAGGAAAGCAGAGGAGACCAGCTTGGAAGGTTCGAGAAGGATATTCCAAACCAGCAGCTACTTGTTGACAGGAATTCAAGGTGACTTGACTCCTAACACTGGAGGATCACTTAGAAATTATCTGCTCTGACCTCTTTGCCAATCCAAGAATCCCTCCAAAAGAATCTGGCAAATAGGGGAAAATTAAATTCTGTACTCTGTGGTATTCATCTTATTCTGTCCTACTCTATGGGACTATACAGTCCTCGAAGACGGGGAATTTATCTAAATCTTTTGTTTAATCCCATATAGGGTGTCAAAGATAAACACAGTTGGACATTAGTTGAAGCAGTGAAAACAGATATTACTGAGTAACTATTGACAGCAGGGGAGAGAGCTGAGCTCCATTCCGATTTGTGAACCAGTGACTGGATATTTTAAAGGGAGAATGAGGGAGGGGGTCAAGCGTGGACTCAGTAGGGTCAGAGAAGTGAAAACTTACCATTTTGGTAAATGTGATTAGGCCAGCTGTGGCTGTTAGCTGGCAGTTTATCAAAGTCAGGATTCTGTCCTTCCACAGACATTGGGAGACAGAGGCCCCGTCCTTCCTGTTGATTGCATTTCAGAGGAATGACTCTCAGGTCCTTGAGAAAGACAGTTCAGAGCTGTAAGAGCTGCATATTCACAGTCAAGCTCTTTTTCATAAATGCTCTAAGAAAGGGAGGTTAGGGGCCTATAGTTTGTTGGCTAGAACGAAGAGTAAATTCTCCTGGCAGCACTGAGGTTTCTCAGGGAGGCATTTTAATGGGGGACGGTGCTGGGGTCATCCTAGGGACGTGGCTTTATGCTGCTAGAAGTTATGCTAGAGTTTTGTTATCTCCTCGTGCAAAGATTCGGGCAAAGTTTTGTTGTAAGCTTAGAGTTCTGCAGTTCTCGAGGGTCTAGAACGTGGCTTAATAAATGTGTTGACTGAACGAATTTAAATAAATTTAATTTCCTCTATTCCCAGAGGAAGGGGGTCGACCAGAGTGCCTTTATCTAGTTTATTATCTATCCCAGAAGAGCTCACTTCCCCTTAGTGCTAGTCTTGGGCCGGAATCAGGAATAACATCTCCATCCATCATCTTCCTTCCCCACGTCCACCTAGCTGTTCTCGTCAGCAGGGCCAGCTGTGCATCTCTCCTCTTGAAAGCTAACCTCGTGTTTGTGAATGAGGAATTTTATCTTCCTACCTCAAATAGTTTGATTTTTTGAAATAATTCAATGTGGATCAATCTTTTATAAAAAGGAAAAAATATTTTCAAATCTAATGCAGGTTTCTGAGCACTGTTAAGAAGGGACAGCTCAAATGTCTCTTATCCAGAGAATTATACCTAAAGCAGAGCAGCATTTGTGGCATATTCTTTCATCAAACTCTTCCTTCACAGCATTTTTCTCAGGTTGTAATGTATGTATTTGTACGATAATTTTTAAATATATGTCATGGAAACTATGTCTCTATTTGTTCACCATTGAAAGGTCATCACCTAACACAGTGGCTAGAACCTATTAGATATATCTCCAAATGATCTACTTAATGAATAAATAAATGAATGTCTTTCCATCTTTCCTTGTCTTCTCCTATAAGATAACATTGACAGTGTGAAAATGCCACTGAATAGAAACATGGTGAATGAATATTTGCAAAATGTCATGGACCTTGAGTTGTGTTTCAGTGATTCTTCTTCTCTTTGTAGATTCCTTACCTATTCCTACCTCTTGGCCTTCAACACGTGGCTGCTGCTTGCACCTGTTACCCTGTGCTACGACTGGCAGGTCGGCAGTATTCCTCTGGTAGAGACCTTATGGGACGTGCGGAACTTAGCCACCATCTTTCTGGCAGTTGTGATGACCTTATTGAGCCTGCACTGCTTAGCAGCCTTCAAGGTAATTTTCTCAAAAATCAAACGAACCTAGTGCATTTGAAGATAGATATTTTAAGCTCAGTAATGTTCTTTGTTTCACATGGGTTTGGGTCTAAATTGACTCTACTCTTTTGTCTCTAAAACTTTGTGTATTTAAAGTTTTTCTAGTAAGTAATAGATGTTTTAAAGACTTCAGCAGGGTTACTAGACGATGGCCACCTTAATTATATTTCTTTGACTGTTTCTACCAACCCTGTAGAAATTGGATCTGAAGTCATGTAATCAAGAAGATTTTTCCTACTGGTTGGCTAATTTTTGAAGTAATTTGTTTGATTTAATGTAATGATAACTGAAATTGTGATAAATAATATATTTATAAATGCTTAAAATATGGTTAAGACTACTTCTACAAATAACTGCCTGAAGTAGTTGGGTGATTTCTCTCCCCCCCAAAAAAAGTATAAAACTGTACAAAATTATTAAATACAACTATTTCAAAAATGATTGAGGTAGCAAAGAACTTGAAAACGTTTACTTATGAAAAACTACTACTTCATTGGATAAAATGCTTCTTGCCTAAGGATGTTCCTCCCATCCTCCTATATCTGGTAGTAAAAATCCATAGGTGAACTGGCTGGAAGTGGCTGATTTGGTTTGGGAAAGAAGCAAAGCAGCTGGAAATTTAAGGGGGAGATTTTAGAAGCAAGAAAATTGTAGAAGGACTGAGATAATATACTGTTCACACATTCATGGCTCATTGTTAAATGACATGTGCACATGGAACTCTCTAGGAAGTACAAGCAAAGTTAAAAGCCTGGGAGACTTACTTATTTGCTGCAAGTTTGAATGAATTCTTTAACCCCTACATGGGTTGGGTGGCAGAGGGTGGAAGCTTCACTAGCTGTGAGTTGTCTATGTATAACTTCTGTCCAAATCATTGGTTAATCACAAAGCCATGCAGGCACAATAGAGATCCCCAGAGATCCAGGCAAACAAAAAAACAAAAATATGGAGCACAAATCTCACTGCTCTGCAGAGAAACAGATTAGATTTTCCAGTTTAGCACAAGCAAGTACATCACATATATTAAAATAGGAAAACCAACAATTTCAGAAGAGCAAAATAGAGTCCAGAGTCACTTTCTTAGAAGGCCTACCTTAAACACCCTATTTAAATGCAGTCCCATACTCTTCACTCCTTTCCTTATCTCCCTTTCACTTTTTAGCTATTCCAGTTTCTAAAATGCTATATGATTTGGTTATTTTATTTAATGTCTGTTTCCACCAACTAGAACATACGCCCCATGAGGACAGAGATTTTTTTTCTGTCTTGTTCACTACCATAGCTTGCCACACTTAATATTTCTTACCAAAATTTTATTGTTTGCCACTCAGTATATATTATCTAAATGAATAATAGTACAAGAAGTTATCAATTCTGTTCAGTTAGATTTTGGTTTGCAGAACCTTTTTTGTTTTTTTAAGTGAGTTATGTATACTCAAGGCTATAAAAGCACTGTGCTCAGTAGCTGTGTGCAGTATCTGGGGGTGAATATGAAGTTTGTTTTATTAGAATCTGGCCTTGGCTTATGGTTTGGCATGCCTGCTATATTGTAATTGATCTGCAGGAGCAAATGTAGTAAAGCCTGGATTGGTATGTCAGTGAGGGTTTTCCCTGACTCCCTCCCAACTCATTAAGGAGACTGGTGGGTCCCCACAGGCTGTCATCATGGTCAGGTGTGTTACATATGAACTTTCATGATGGCAGTAGACCTGGCACACAGGCAAGCCTTGGCCCTCCCTAGAGTGTTTTTAATAATGTGATGAATGAATGAAAACTTCCTCTTTGGAAGGCTGCTAATCCTTTTCTTTCATGGGATTTGTTTCAAAATCACTTAATGCATTGTGGAAATATTAGCAAGTCATTCAAGCTGTGGTGATAGCAAAATTGTACTCTTCTGTGTTGGCTTTCATCTTGAAAATTCTTTGCAAACATTGACTAGAGCCTCCAGCAATTCTTGAAGGCCACTTGTACTTTCTATATTTTCTTTTTTCAGAGGTTGGAGACAGAGGTTTGGCCTGTAGGTCATGTTTTTGCAAACTGTCTTCTCTTTTCTTTATCTACTTACATAGTAGAAGGAAGATAAGAATCAGGTCTTAAAAGTCAGGGTCTCCTGTTAGTAACTTCTCGAAGTGGGAATAATCCTGCTTTTTGTGTGTGTGATGATTAATTACTAGGGACATGGTATTAAGGGCTTTCACTCTGAGACAATACACAGTAGGATTAATCTTTTATGAAAACAGAAGTTTTGATTTATGGACATTCTTCTGTGCTAGAAAGAATCAAGGGATGAAATATTTGTTATAATAACAGCAAAATAAGCACAGTTCTGCTCACCTAGAATATTTCCACATGATATGTATACTGTGTCAGTAAGCATTGAGTTGAAATTATTTTATAATACCTGGGTATGTCCTTAAATTTTGAAAGTGAGACTATATAATACGTTTCTAGGAAAAAAAAAATATTGGATAAACAATTATATGCACTGAGTCTAGAAAATCATAGAAAATATTTCCTTTATTTTAACCTTTGATTTATTCTCAATCATACGAAATGAACCTTGGCTTATATTCAGAGGAGAATCTGTTCTCTTTAGCTTCACTACGTCTTCCTCTCTCATTGTGTAAGCATTGATTGAATGCCTAATAGCTGCTGGGACTAGAGCAGTGAACAAAATGAAGATCCTGCCTGCGTGGAGCTTACACTTAAACACTTACAGTATGTCTGTATATGCCAAGTGTTAAGTGTTGTGAAGAGGTCAGAGCCAGCCTCATAGATCAGGTGAAATTTGAGCAGAGACATGAAGAATGTGAGCGAGTGAGCCACGTGGCTGTCTGGGCAAGAGCATCCCAAGTGAAAGGAAAGCAAGTGCCAAAGCCCTAAGGCAGGAAGGTATGGAGCCTTCACACACAGCAAGGGGGCTGCCATGGCTGGAGCAGAGTGAGCCAGGGGCAGAGCTGTGTGAAATGATGTCAGAGAGATCGAGTGAGTGAGTGTGTGTGCACACACGTGTGTGTGCCCAGAGGATCAGGCCTCCATCTTTGGAAGCCTTTGCCGACATTCCCTTCTGCTGCCGGGCTTCTTACACGTGGCCCCTGGCTCTGTATTGTCTAGTTTTCTTCTTGATGCGGTGAGGCCATGGAGGGCGGGAAACAAGATCAGGGAAAAGAATTCAGGTTCTTTAACTTCTGTGTGTGCTTGTGGGGGATACGAGGTGGGAATTGAAGAAAAAGAGCAGCCTTGCAGTCAGTAAGGGCTCCAGAAGACATACAGATCTTTCTTTTGCTAGGATTAACCAGCTTTTTTTTTTTTTTTTTTTTTTTNAGAGGATCAGGCCTCCATCTTTGGAAGCCTTTGCCGACATTCCCTTCTGCTGCCGGGCTTCTTACACGTGGCCCCTGGCTCTGTATTGTCTAGTTTTCTTCTTGATGCGGTGAGGCCATGGAGGGCGGGAAACAAGATCAGGGAAAAGAATTCAGGTTCTTTAACTTCTGTGTGTGCTTGTGGGGGATACGAGGTGGGAATTGAAGAAAAAGAGCAGCCTTGCAGTCAGTAAGGGCTCCAGAAGACATACAGATCTTTCTTTTGCTAGGATTAACCAGCTTTTTTTTTTTTTTTTTTTACATCATTTTAGGCAATATATATGCTTACAGTCTTTGTTTCTTCTCCAGTTTATCAAAAACCATCCTTTGCCTTTCTACCTTGTTGTTAACCAGAGAATCAGAAAGGGGGCATAGTGTACTCCGTCCCGTTACAATTGTATTTATACTTATTTGAATTTTTATTAATACTTTAATAATTAACTTTACAAAGCTGCAAATTAACGCATGCGAGAAACAAAACAGCAGAGGTACCTCCACAAACCATTCCCCCACCAAATCCCACCCTCCATGGACTTTCTTTGAACAATTTTTTTCATGCATTTTTACATTTATTGAAACAAAACTAAATTCATTCTTTTCTAGAAGTTGTTAGACACTATTACAAATTGCACTTCCACATCCTGTTGGACTGTTCCTATAAGCAACTCTCAAAGTAGACGTTTGAATTTTGGCAAGGTCTTGTCCAGACTTGAGTGAGAGAGCTAGGATACAATCTAAATGTTTCTTTTATCTAGAAATAACAACTGAATGAATTTTGGGATTGTTTCTAGTTTGTTCTATTTTCATGGCATGAGAAATGTAAGACCTCTAGGTATAGTTTATTATCTATCCCAGAAGAGCTCGCTTGACATCTTTGAAAATTTAAAAGAGCTTGTCTTATCCTGTGACATTCCTTCATCTCCTCCTCCTTTCACACCCATTATTCTGTAGGAATACATTTAAGCTTATGTTACATAAGGTAGAGAACAATTTAGAAATTCATTATTGGATTAAGTTCTTTTTAACAATGAATTTTGAGGTGAATTTGCTCCCACCCTTTGTGATGAAGATAATTGCTCTGTGAAAATGTATGTTCCATGGAGATAAAGGAAATTTAAGCCACAAAAGCTGTTTATTCCATTCTCTAATATGAATATTGAATGTTTATGCCCCACAAGAACAACAGGCTGAAAATGCACTTGGGTTTTTCTTTACAACTCTTACAGACTTTATGTCACACTGTTGACTTGCAATAAAAAGTGACATATATCAGGAAAGTAGCCAGTCTAATTTGGATTGTTTAGGAGAGTTAATACCATTGGTACTATTCCTTATAGTTCCTTGTTTCCCATATCCTCTAATGTGGTTTCCCTGCATTACAGAGGAAACACCACTAAATTATAGTTAAGAGCAATTTATTTGGTATTGGTTCTTTGTTACATTCTCATAGGGTGTCTTGAGATTTTAAGGTATTTTTATACCTTTTATAATCTTGTAGCATACTTGTTAAAGGAAAACCTGAAGAAGGAGAAGGGTTAATGAAATCTGACTTTCCTAATAATGGCCTCAGTGATGGCATGTCTCTTGAGAATGGACA